GTCCTGAGCCTCCCTGGATCCATGATTCCCCACCACCGGCCAGGAAAGGATGGAGGGCTCGGGTCAGACATTACAGTGGCACCCAGCGAGCCTCCAGCGTAGGGGCACGGGGACCCTTGGATGCTTGCAGACGGGCTGTGCATGCACAGGCCTGGGGGCCGTGGACTTTTCTTCCTTCCTTTACAATGCAAGTGCAAGGAGAGACAATCCGGTGGCAGCTTCTGCTGCTGCAGGTGCTTGGCCACTGCAGCGGGAGGTAGTCAGCCACGGCCATCTGAACCAGGGTAGATTAGCCCTGTGCCACCTAGCAGAGATACATATAGCATAAGCCTTCACAGGCCCAAGCTCACTGCATCAGCTTCCTTCCACGCGGCTGTTCTCAAGCCCCCCACCCACCGGCTCCCCCTTGCACACGCCGACCCCGGGAATGCAGAAGTGAAGCCGCCCTGGGGGCGCCTCCGCTCACTCTCCAGACCTCAGGCTCGAGCCTAGCCCCCCTGAACACTGCCCGAGGAATAGGAGCCTGGCTCCAAGCACACGCTGCCCTCACCCGTCACCGGTCCATGACTGTGACAGCAGGGCTGGCAGCAGAAAGGAATAGAAGAGGACCCAATGCATTACTTGATAGTAATACTGTGAGGGGTCTCGCAGCACCAAGGGCGGCTCGGCATGTCCGGTGCTTGTGGGGCGGACATCGCCGGCCAGACCAGAGAGGGACCATGCAGCTCTGCAAATTGCACAGAGCAAGCGGGCCCCAGGGCCGGTCACGCCTCAGTTCGGGACAGTCCCTCGCTGCCCCACCAGTGCCTCGGACCTCTGCTGCGACGGGGTGGGAAGAGGGAGAGAGCTCAGCTCCGGCCCCTCTGCTGGGACTCAGGGGAGCGGATGCTTCCCCTGGGAACTGGCTGCAGGCCACCCACGTGCTCCCGGCAGGCCGCCACCCAGCTGTCCCGCGGCAACATATGGCCCGGAGAGAATTGGCAAGCACCTGCCGCAAGAAATGCTCTGCCTTGCAGGGGAGGCACTAAAATACTCTGCAAGCCCAGCGCTGCAGGGACCCTGGGGGTCCCCTCTCCCAGCTCCCGTTGTGCCCAGCCCGGCGCAGACAGACGCCTGCCCTGGCCCTCCGCAAACCTCGAGGGGGGACATTGCACGGCGCCTCTCGGCGGCTGCTTCTGTTCTCCAGCAGCTCCGGCAGCCAGGATGGTTTCCTGAGGTTTAACCCAAATCTTGAACCCGCGGCCTCGCGCCCCGCCGCCCGACGAGGGAGAACCGTTCCTCTCCCTCTTCTTCATGGTATCTAAAAGCTCCTGACCTGTCCTGGTGTCCTGCAAAGACATCCCCCTCAAACACAGACAGATGGACCCCACGCACGCGCGCCCGGGGGGCTGGGGCTCAGGTTGGCATTCCCCTGCTCTCCCCAGGAGCCGGAGATGTGTGTCACCAGCTGCACGGTCCCGGCGGGTGGAAATGCAGCTGCGCCTGAGATGCCATTCGTCTCCCTCCCCGGGGGACCTGCTTTCTCCCGTAATCTCAGGGGAGGCAGCAGAGACCAAAAGGACAAAGCAGCCACGAATCTCAGCCACGTACTTGTTAAGACGGCGCTTTCGTGACAAAGGACCGGGCGAAGGGGAGGGGAAGGGAAGCATCGACACGCTGGATGTTATTGATCTCTCCCACGTCCAATTTATTAAACCTCGTTTCCTGCTTTAATGGTTTATTGTAGGTATTTTTGTGATGGCAGATAATCAGGTCTGGGATTCGAGGTTGTCATAGGAACTCCTGCATGCCACTAATATCTCCTTCCCCCCACCCCGGCCACCCCCGATCTGCGACGGAGCGTGTGAGGGTTCGGTTCTCCTTCGCACAGCAGGTATTTTTCCCTCCCGGCCCCCTCCTCCCCACCCAGTACGAGCCAGAGCAGAGACCAGCTCCACGTAGTCGCTGGGGTGCATTTGGATAAAACCTCGGCCTAAATTCCTCTCATCAAACATAAAAAGGAGCCGACAAAACCTCTCCTAAAGCCGGCCAGAGCCCTGCTCAGATCAATGGGACTGCCTGTCTCTGCATGCGTTGCAAGGTGAATATTAATGACTTTTCAGGACGGTTGCTACTGGAGCAGGGCAGATCGAGTAGGCACGCATTCGTGGGGCCCGGCGCCCCGAAGCCGTGCCGTGCCCTCCTGCCGGCTTCCTGCTCCCTGGGGGCGTCTCACCCCGGGCGGACAGGTGAGGCACAGAGGACTCCCGCAGGGCGCTGCCGGAGCCTGTCGCATCCCAGCATGTCGCCTCGCTCAGCTGGGTAGGCCGAAGCGTGCAGCCAAGCTCCTTCCTGCAGCGGTGCGTGCCCTGAAGAGGAAAGGAGGACTGAAGACAGCGTGGGGCCAGGTTTCTAGGACACACACAGATCATTGGGAAGCAGGAAGAAGACCAGACACCGAAGAGGACGAGCTCCCTGGCCCGCGCGGGCCGAAGGGGCTGTGCTCCTGCGCTCTCTGCTGCACGCTCGATCTGTCGCACAGACTCCTGGCCCCGCCGGAGACGCCTGACAGCCCCAGTGCAAAGCCAGGCACGGAGAGCCTCAAGCCCTGCCCCTGACTGTTCACCAGAACCCGCTTGTCTCTACCCGCAAGGATGGGGAGAGCCCTCCGGGGTCCTTTCCCATCCTTTGATGAGCCTGGTCCCCACCACTGCCAGAGGCACTGGGCGTTGGGTCCGATCCCCCCAGCAGCCCCTCGCCGTCTGCCCTCCCAGCTCCTCTCGCTGCCCTGCAGGTGCATCCCGGGCACGGTGCACGTGGCTGGGGTTTCTGCAGGGGCTGTGCCAGCCCTTTGCTGGAAACCCCCCAGACCGCACGGAGCGCCTGCCTGCTGCACTTTGAGAAGCCAAGCGAGATGGTCTGCCGAGGGCAAGCACCTGGCGGGACCCTGCGCCCCTTTCTCCTCCCTCCCCAGCAGTGGGGAGCAGCAGTGGCTCCATCCCACCTGGATCTCCAGCCCCTCAACCGTGCTCTGCTTGGAGCTGAAAAGACAAAGCAGATGGCGTGAAGCCGCAAGAGCCCAAAGCCAGCCTAAAATTAGTGGAAGCCCCCCCGCTAGGTCCCAGCAGCACAGTTGCATGGCGCCAGGGCTCCTGGCAGGGGGGTGATGGAGAGGAGCTGCGTCTAAACCCACCTCCCTGCCCACACTGCAGCTCTCGCCAGGAAAGCCACACGCTTGGGTGCTTTCCTGCATCAGGGCAGAGGCAGCCTGGGTGTGGGGGGCACCAGAAGCGGGATCCAGCCGCCCACTTGTGCAATTCTTTTGCCACTCTTCCCTCTCCTTCCCCCCGCTCACCACCTCCATAAGCATCCCCATCGTTGCTCCTCCATTTATCCATCCCCATAAATACCACCCTGGCCCTGCATCGCAGGATTTGCTGAGGTGCCTACGAGCGCATTATCTAAGCCCTTGCCAAGATAGAAAAGGAGATGGATGTTGTCCAGAGAGAAGATAAGGCTGCATCTGAAACGGCAGAGCATCCTTGCAGAGCATGCCTGGAGCAGAAAGGCGCCCGATCTCATTCCCTTCGGGTCACCGACCGGCTCCTGTCAGCCAAGACACAGATCTCCGCTTGGGGAGGGGGAGAAGGGATGGATCTACAGGCCTGGAGCCTGGATGTCTTGCGAGGAAGGGCATCCCGCTGCTCCTGCACCCTCCGACAGATCTGCCTGGGGGGGGACCCCCGTTCTTTGCATGCTTTTCGCTGCACAAAGTGGGGATTTGGGTTGGTGTGACAAAGGGAATGACCCCCACGCACACGAGAAATGGAGCTGAGGGTTGGTCTAATAAAAGATACCGGATTTACCCCCCCAAATCTTGTCTGTTTGGAGCAGAGGGTTCGCTCTGCACAGTGCGCCGCATCAATGCAGCCCTTGGCTCTCCTACCCTGGCACGGAGCAACCAAGGACACATCAGCACCGTTATTTAGGGCTGACCTCAAGACCACCTTCAGCAGAGGCCACGTGACCCTCTCCCCTCCCTCCACATCATGCTCAAGCCCACCCACTTTGTTTGGCTTTCATGCAAAGCCGAGCCCTTCTAGGAATCCCTCTCGACTCTCCTTGCAGACAAGTGGGGCAGGAAGAGGGGTGCAGAGGGCTGAGAGCCTGGAGCAGGGAGTTGCGGGCTGGCTGCCGGCGGGCACCCCGAGCTGGGAAAGCTCCGAATGTGCCGAGCAACGAGGAGCGCCTTCATGGCTGGAAAATCAGCTGAGCTCCCAGGGTTTGCACGGCCGGGTTCAGGGAGCCCGTGTGGTCACACCTGGGGACTGGGAGAGGCAGCCTAAGTGACATGCCCAAGACCACGCAGCAAGTCTGTGGCAGCACAGGGCCCCAACCAAGACCCCAGACTGGGGCTCTAAGCACTGGACCAGCTTTCCTTCCTGAGCAGCATTTCTGCATCCAAGCAAGCCATGGCAGGCCAGGAGGGGTGGAGATGTTGAACCCATCCAAGCAAGCCATGGCAGGCCAGGAGGGGGGGAGATGTTGAAAACAAACTCCCAGGCAGTTTGGAGACGGCGATCTCTACCTTTATTCCACCTCCAGCTCCAGATGGCCGGCCTCTCATTTGTAGGCTGCTGAGAGCAGACCGAAACGCTGCCCAGGACACATCTCACCGGCATGTCCGCCGGAGCAGGCACAGGTTCCTAAATCACTTGTGCACCCGCCTTCTGAATCCCCCCGGGTGGGCCCACCCGCAGATGCAGCCGGCATCGTGCTAGGTGCAGCCAACACAAGGCAGGAGGGGAGACACCCGCCGCGCTCCCGCCTGGGGACTCGACCGGGGAGCCGCTGTGCCACTCCCGGCGCCCGGGGAACGGGCAGCGATACAAGCGGTTCACGCCGTGCAGATGGAGCCTCCTTAAAACTTTCCTCCGCTTGGCTGCACGCCTCAGGAAGTTGGCAGCTACAGCCAGGCAGTCACAGCTACCCTCTGATGAGAAGTGCAAGGGAACGGGGAAAATATTTAGAGAACTGGGAAAAGGAAAAAACAAAAACTGATGGAGAGGCCTGGCGGAGCGTCGAAAATCAGTTCTGAGCACAGACGGGGGAAGCCACGGGGCTTTTGTCTACGCTGGGCGCCAACCCCGCTCAAATTCAGTGCTGCCTGGATGCCCTGCGGATGCCGCGTGGGAGGGGAGGCTCCAAAGGAGCCTGCAGGAGAGGGCAGGAAGAAGTGAACTGGGAGCTGGCAAAGACAGAGGACAAGGAGCCTGGCGCTTCTAGGTGCCCGATTCAAACTCCCGTCACGTTTCTCACCCGGCGACTCAACGTGCCTGGGAGCCCGGCGCGAGCGGAGAGCCCGCAGGTGACCAGGCCGTGGCGTGGCAGCAGGGCGGGGGAGACGCCGTCGGGGGCCGTCTGTCGTCTCCCCCCGGCACGGCACCTCTACTCGGGATGCTGGCGCTGCCGTCGCGGCAAACAGAAGCCCCAGCTCCCGCGCCGGCAGACGTGGCAGCCCGGTTGCAGGGGAGACGGGAGGAGGGGGCGAGGGATAAACAACTTGCTCTTTTAAATAATTGCTTCTGACAGATCCATTTCTTCCACCAGGTTCAAGCTTAATTTTATGATGGTAGCGGTAGCTATAGCAACGTGTAAAAATAACGTATCCCGCAGCAAAGCAAATTCGCTGTAAACATTTTTTTTTTTCTTTCTTTCTTTTTGCTCGCGGAGATGAGAAAAGCGAGAGCCGTGGCGGGCAGGCCCGGCGCAGACACAGCCCCGTGGAGCGCGCCGCTTGCCGTCTGCCCGCGCCGGGCCTGGCGTCGGTGCTTTGTGCGCTTGCAAAAATCCCATTGTTCCCTCGCCTTTTGTGCCGTCCCGGGGTGCAGCCGACGCTCGGCTGAGCTGCCGGCCAGGATGAGAGGCCGCTCAGGTGTGCAAGTGGCTCTCCCACGCCAAAGGGCCTCACTAATCCCCATCCTAGGAACCCAGTTTGCCTCCCTCCGGAGGCCGGGTGCCAGGTGCATGCAGGGGGCAGAGGCACTGGGCTTGCACCGTGGAGCCACGTGGCAGGAGGAGAGTTCAGGATCATCCAGGCAGGCACAGAAGAGACCATGCACAACAGGCCCCGTGCACGGAAGAAATTTTCACCCAAGCCTGGGAAATCCCCAGCAAGGAGTGAATGCCACATCCTGCTCACTGGAGCTCAGCTCAGGGCAAACATGAGCCACCGGCCCGGGGATGATAGAGCCCCTGTGACAGCCGAGCAAGAAAGCACCTAACAGGAGCAAACTCTGCCCTTCCTGCCAGCTCAAAGGGGAAATCCTCTGCTTAGACACAAGGAAACATTTCCTCCTAATGGGAATAGCGCTGTGCATAGGCAGGGCAAGCGGGGAAAGGGCCTTGCCTAAACAACCCACTCACATAAATAAGCTTCTAGCTCGTTAGCAACAGGAAGCAGTTGCGAATGACCTCGTCCCATCATAGAAACCATAACGAAGGGCTGGAAGGGATCTCCAGGGGTCATCTAATCCAACCCCTATCCTAGTGCAATATCTCATTTCTGCTGAAGGTGGACCCACCCGCTTCAGAGTAAGATGGAAAAGCCACGCCAAGGGGCAGGGACCGCGTGCACAGCCAGGGTCGCTTGGCCCCAGTGCGATACAACAGCCACGACAAGGGTGACGATAGGGAAGGCGACGCCGTCACCTGCTCAGGAGGGAAACTTCTTTGCAACCTGCAGAGTCCGTGGCTGGCTTTCGTGGCTTTCCAGCCCTTCTGCATGTTGATTCTGCTAGCTATACCGCAGATGCATCTATTATTCACGCACGGTTCCTCCTTTTTGATTCCCACGAGACTCCTCACCTCCAGCAAACACTTCCCATCGCTTCTTGAAGAGAGCGCAGCGCCCGGTCCCTGGCAGGCAGGTGAGAGCCGGGTCAGACGCACCTCTCTCTGGGGTGCTTTACACAGGGAGAGTCCTGCCCAGAGCAAGGGGATGAGTTTGAGGAGCTCCCAAGCTTTGATCTGCCCTGCAATGGGGGAGGGAAGACTTAGGGAAGGACGGCTTTCACTATGCAGGCCTGGTTGACATCAACGGACTCGGGGCCCTCGGGGCTGTTTGCTCTCAACACCCCGGTTTGGACGTGGTCTCCCCCACCTTGCAAACCACAATCCTGGCTGCATCCACACGAAACTATTTCCCCGCTCCCCAGGGCCAGCGTCGCTCCCCCATGCCCCGCCGTTGGGAAGGCTTTGGTGTTTGGGTTGGAATTCATGCGATGACTAATTAATGGTGTTAACTGCTTATGCTTTGTGATGGTGACTCACGTTACACTGACGATGATTTCATTTGTTAATCCTCCGGGCGACGATGCCGCTAATTGGCCGGCTCGCGGCTCTACCCATGGTTAGGAGCCGTGGCTGAGAAAGCTGGGGCGTGATGATCGCTGCCGCGCTCTATTGGCGAGACAGCCAGTTGACTTCCTCTCCCTCCCGCAAGCTCGTATTTTGCCACTGGCTCTGTGACTTCCCTACCGTCTCTTTGGAGGATGTGGCCACGCTAATTTTGTTGCTAATCAGATTTGCATCCACACGGGGCGTTTTAAACAAAGATCCCTCAGACCTTGGGGAAGGGAAAGGGTAGCAATTACAGCAGTTTCAATCCCCCGCCTTCGAGATAAACTCTTTCAGCTCAGCATGTTTCAATGCACTTGATCCACCCAGTGAAGCTTCCCGAGTCCTCTTCTGCAACGCCGACCTCCGTGATGGAGAAGCAGCTGCGCCGGGCACCGCGCTAACCAGGAGGATGCTCCAGACCCCGCCACCGAGAGAACGTCCTGGAGAGGCGGGCATGGAGGGGGCTTGCGCGAGCCAGGCCAGGGCGCCGCATTTCTTTCAATAAATCTTTTCGTTCATTTTTGAGGCCTGGAAACGCTCTCCAAGGTGTCCGGCCAATTAGCGGAGGCCAAGCAGCGGACAAAGAGCTTTTCATCTGCACCCAGGAGGCCGGGCACAGCTCTCAGTCAGGATTGGTACACGGCACGGGAAAGCCTCCCCTCCCGGACGTAGAGGGGGCTTGCCAAGAGCCGCCCGCAATCCCTGGGCCGTGTCCCTGCATCTTCACCCGCCCGGGCAGGGCAGGGCAGGGCATTGCAGAGTCTCCTCTTCCAGACAGATGGCTCTGGGCACTGGCTGGCAGGCGGAGAGGATGGTCAGGACTGAGCCAACAACCAGCCCTGTAGCTGATTTAAGAGGTTGTTGCTGGTTCAAGAGTCCGATACAAAACAGGCCTGATTTTACCTGGCAAAGAGAAGGACTCCCCCCGTGCCGGAGCTCCCGCAGCGCCTTCGCCTGCATCCAAACCCCAAATGCCCCCGCGCCTCTGAGCACGGCCCCCCGCCCAGTTACCCGGGGGGGCAAGGGTGCTGTGTCTCAGAGAGGTGGATGGGGACAGAGTCGCAGACACGCGTGTCAGCCGTGACGCATCGCCGAGACCCCGGGAAGCTGCTGACCCAGGGCCTGGGGCACCGGCAGAGAGGAGCTGGGGAAACGGCCCCGAGCTGGAAGTAATCGCAGCGATCTTGCTGCGCTCGTGGACAGGGCGAGAGCTCTCCAGCGCGCTCCCAGCAAGACCCTCCAGCAGCCGCAAGTGGGAAAAGTGGCTGCCCGCCCGGGAACGCAACAGCAGCTGCCAGCGACCCAGAACAGACCGCTCCAGCTGTGACCCTCGCGTCCACCGCCCCCCCCGGCACCACATCTGCAGCATTGCTGCGGTGAAGCAGCGCAGATGCAAGCACGGGGCTGCTCCGGGCGTCGTGCCAGCCCGCACATCAGCAGGGGTCGGGGAAGAGAACCGAGGTCTTTTGGGGGTCCAGCAAGACACAGAGCAGCTGGGACCAGATCCCCAACCAGGGCAGCTCCACGATCGCATGGTTTAGCCTGCCCCGCGTCCAGCTCACGTTAAAGAAATGCCAAGCTGGACAAAGCCCTCTCCAAACCTGCACTTCAAAGTCCCACCACCTTCAGCAGAGAGCCCCAGCTAGCAGGAAGCTATGGACAGAGATAGCCGAACGTGATAAATGCCTTGGCGACAGCATCTGGAGTTATCTGCAGCTTCTGCAAGACCTTATCAGCCCACCCAGCCAGCAACGAGCTCCAGACAGCCGGGCCCGGAAATCAGAAGAACATTATCGGCTGTCCTAATGCTGGATGCTCGCTTCCGATAACACTTTGCAATCACCGAAGAACAGAGAGAGGGCAAAGAAAGAAAAAAAGCCAGGCGATAACTCATCGCACACTGAGCGCCTCGGCCTGCCCCAGCCTCAGGGGCTCCAGAAGGGGCTTCACTAAAGGCTCCCACCGCACCTTGGCTCTGATGACCTCCAGGCACTAAGAGACAGAGTCCTCTCCCTGCCACGCGGGGAGCCGGGGAGGGGCACAGGGCTGCCACGCTGCCCTGGCCGCGCCGCATGCAGGTGGCAGGGGCAGAGCAGAGCTCAGACCCCATGGCTTCCAGCCCCTTGGCGGAGAATCAGACCCAGAGCCTCCTTCCCTCCCCGATGGAAGCAAGCGGGTGCTGGGGGGGATCCCAAGTGAAACACCGGCTGTATCCCCCTTCCCCGTCTGCACGTGGCTCAGGGCCATCAGGCCTGGCAGGAGAGAGCTGGCAGCACTCCCAGCATCCGTGCCTCCACGGCTTGTGGGGGGCGACGTGTTTTTGGGGGTGAGATCACAAGGTCAGAAGGGACCGTCGCCACCCTCAAGCCCACCCTTAATGAGCCCCTGAGCTGACGGCACAGGGAAGCCTTTGATCTTCCCCGGTGTGGTGCGCTGGAGACCCGGCCCTGCACCCCTCAGCTGCCCCTTGCAGCCAGGCATCACCTGCCGGTCACCCCGCTTGCCTAGGGATGTGCCTAGCTCCAGCGCCCAGCACCTGGGCCTGGTGTCAGCAGCCAAAACCCCCCTGAGCGTGTCTGGCTCTCTCCGGTGCAGCATCCCTCTGTGCTAACCCAGCTGTGGGCCAGGGGAGGGGAGGCGAGACCCCCAAAGGACCCCTGCCATGCAACTAGGGCGTGCATGGGTGGGAGCAGCTACAGCCCCCTCGTCCCCTGGCACAGACACTGCAGCGACGGCACCCGATTTACGAGCTTTGGGGGTGCTCGGAGGAGCTCTGTAAAAACACCCCCGCCTTCTTTCTCCCCCCTCCCCGCCACCTCTTCCTCCTCTCCTACTTAATTTCTGCATAACTGCAAAGCGTTCTCACCTTCACACCAGCAGACACAACACAAATCAGAGACAGCCTCCGCTGCAGCAGCTGGAAAGGGCAAAATAAATTTGTCTGGCGTCAGCACACCAGCAGATCCCTTCATTAACACTGGAACATCACTCCTGGAGACAGGTTGAGGCAGGGGTGTCTGGGTGCCCGGGAGGAAGGGTTAGCTCCACGGGCCCTGCAGCCCCCCAAGAGAGAGCGAGGCCGTGCGTGGGGGGATGCTCGCTGGAGCAGGGAGCTTGAAGATCTGGTGGGAGATGCTTTCAAAGGCCAGAGATTAGGGCCTCTGGACTGGAAGCTGCAGCCAGGCCTCTCGCAATATGTACAAGTGCTCCTCCGGCCTCTCCCAAAGCCACGGACAGAGCTCAGGCTCCTGATATTAAACCCAAGATATTGGCTGGGATGATGTAGTTGGGGCTGGTCCTGCTTGGAGCAGGCGGTTGCACGAGGTGGGACTTCCTGAGGTCCCTTCCAGCCCTCCTTTTCTATGGCTTTTTGAACCCCAACCTCTCCCGCATGGACAGTGCAGCGTGGCTCATCAGCCTTGCCCCTTTTGTTCAGCCCTAGGACACCTGCCCACCAGTGACGCCGGGGGCACTCGCCCGCCGTGGGACCCGGGCAGTCCCGGAGCCGACCCCAGTGCCCCGCTGCACCGTGCCTTCCCGCTACGCGGCTGCAGTGTATTCCACGATTCGCACAGCAATAGCTACCCTGCACCCGGGACCCCTCAGGCTCCCGTCCGCGTGCTCTCTGCCTCTCCTTCCTCCCCAGGGGAGCCCCAGCAGCCAGGCACGATGCCCTGAACACAGGCCGAGACATCAGGAACAATCGCGTCCTGTCCGCGGGCAG